CTGAAATTAATTCATATTTTTCAGTATTTTAGTCTGCCGCCACCTTGCACGTTGCTGTCACTGAAACCTGAGCCCCATGGGAACAGGGACAAGTGGAAAGTGGCTAATGTTCCATTGGCAGCCAAAGCATCAACCTCTTAAGGGTGCAAGGTCGGCCAAATCCATGTTAAATGGCATGCAGGAGCTGCAAGTTGCTTGAGCTGATCGACTGACACCTGTTGTTTGAATTATGATGCTGCCCAGGTTGTTTTTAAAAGCTATGATTGTGCATCCATAAAAAATTAATTAAAATTAAAAAATGTATGTTTCATCAGACTACTCTGTTCATGACTTCGGCGACCTCAGCTTTCAGCACCTGGAGCAGGACGAACCCTACATGGGCGTGAAGTCCCCGAGGAGTGTGGGAGCCGCCAACAAAAAGTTATCCAGTGCCGTGAGCAGAGCCGTCGGCGCCGGACACACTCTGGTAATGCTGGGGGGAGATCACAGGTATTTCTATCGAACAACGCTGCAACAAAGGCAGCGCAGACTGCGACTGCGCGCTCATCTTGTGCATCTGAAGGGACTCAAATAGCGAAATTCAACATGGCTTCTCTCCTTTCAACAGCCTGGCTATCGGGTCGGTGAGCGGACATGCCCAGCAGTGCCCTGATCTGTGTGTGATTTGGGTCGACGCCCATGCCGATATAAACACCCCCATGACCTCGCCGTCGGGAAACCTTCACGGCCAGCCTGTGGCATTCATGCTCAAAGAGCTGCAAGACAAGGTGAGGGCCAGACACAACAGAAAGGTTAGGAACACAGGACGTCTGGAACCTTGAAGTTTGCTAAAGAGACACAGCATAATACCCAGAATCAAGGACTGATAATATTTTCAGCACTATTCTGATCTTATTGCCCTTCAGTTGAGTGATTAACCAAGAGATTTGAACAGTAAAAGCTTTTTATCTTATTTAACGTTTGGTGCTTTTAGATATTTTTCGGCTTTTCGAGTAAGATTAATACGGCAAATGAGATTGCGCAATACATTGTTTTCCTTTTGATTCTGACGAGAAAAAACCTTCAAATCCTGTATATTTTATTCCTCCACTTAAAGATTGTGTAAGGCTCTGTATGTTTTTCTTCCGCCAAAATAAAGCAATGTAGCAAAGGTTGTTGTGTTACACAGTTTTCTTGCTTTGATGGTCACATATTTATCAGAATGTTGTTTGCATCCAGATGCCAGAAATTCCTGGATTCTCATGGGCCAAACCTTTCCTCTCGTCACGTGATCTGGTTTACATTGGGCTGCGGGATGTTGACCCCGGAGAGCAGTGAGTTGCTGCTTTTACCTAAGCTATCTCTACCATGTGGTTGATGTACACTGTTACTTCATGTAAACTTTTTAAAAACCTGTTTTTTGTGCACTTTGCTGCAGCCAGATCCTAAAGAACCTGGGAATCCAGTACTTCACCATGAGGGATATAGACAGACTAGGCATCCAAAGAGTCATGGAAGTAACTTTTGATCATCTTCTGGCACGGTAGATAATACTTCCTGATCCTGATGAACCGGCTGATTGGATTTAAGGGCCAATCTGAATTCACCTTTAATCTTCTCCTGCAGAAAACAGCGACCGATCCACCTGAGTTTTGACATCGACGCATTCGACCCGTCTCTGGCTCCTGCCACAGGAACCCCGGTGAACGGTGGTTTGACTTACAGAGAAGGGATCTATCTGACAGAGGAGATTCATAACACAGGTAGTTTACCTCACTTCCTGCATGCCTCCATCCGTTCTAGACCCTCTGGGTTTGGAGTGTAACATGTTTCTGCATTGGTGTTCAGGTCTGCTTTCAGTCATGGACCTGGTGGAGGTAAACCCCATCCTGGGAGCAAATCAGGAAGCAGTGGAGGCCACCGCCTCCTTAGCGGTGGACGTCGTCGCATCGTCTCTGGGGCAGACGAGAGAGGGCTCTCATGGGTCCATCGACGCTATGCCGGCAGAGAAAAGCGACACAGAGCAGCTCTGCCTCTGAGAGCTCCAAAGCTCTGTCTCTTTTTGAACTTTACACCATGCCTGACCATTCCACCACTTCATTTTCTGCTGTTTATTTTTATTGTTTTTAATCTGGGAAAAGTAAAGAGATTTCTGGATCCATAAAGGAAAGCATAAAATGAAAGGGCTTTAAAAATGTTTACTTTGGTCACGCTGGGGAAAGCCTGCAGCATAATGGACAGACTTTATGAGTAAACTACTGCTCATAGTAAAAGCAATACTAATTTATTTGATTTTTATGATGTGTGTTTGAAAAAGAGAAAAAAAAAAGGGACGTACCTGCCTTAGAGGCAAGAAAAAGTAAGACTTTGAAGTTTGCGGTCTAATGTGGACCTTTATTGCTTTCTGGTCAGACCATATAGTCTACAGCTACTGTAGTTAAGCCACTCTTCACTTTTGGACCAGCTGTGGTTACTGTTTTCTGAGTTTACATTTATTTTAAACTTTACAATTACCAGTACAAGCACTTTAAATATATAACACATCCCTTATCAAAACTTTTTGTAGGAATGCTAAAAAAAAATAATATTTACTGTATTTTCATCAGACCTGTACTGGTTTACTGCTCTGTCCTCGAGTTTCAAATTGAATGACTATTTTCATTGCTACAAAGAGATCTTATTTTGGTCTTCCATGAATGTGAATAAATGTTTGTTTGTATGTGTGTCCTATTTTCTCCTTTGCTTAATTTCTGGAATCATGGCTGGACTTCCTCTTTAACTAGCATCAGAGGCTAGGATGACTCTACCATGCTCAACAATTTGAAAAGCATATTAATTCATAAAAACAATTAACTCTACTTATCATAAATTAATGAGTTCATTTCATTACAGGTGATTTACTGTTAGTAGTGTTGCGATGAAAATGTATTTTTTTTGCCCCAATACTGATGCCATCTGTTTGAAATTGATGCGTGTGTGTATATATGAAGAACTGCATACTACTTGGATGTAAAATAATTGCCATCATGGATTTTTCAAGCTGCTGCCTACCTTTGTGAAGCAGGAAAAAGACTAAAAGAAAGTGAATCCAGCAGAACTTTTCATGGCCTACCTGGAATTGGTGACAATAGTTGAATAAACTTTTGGCTCTCAAAATGGGATTGATGCCCTATTTGTTGGGACTCTATACTGATACCATCATTTTAGTGCTGGATCGGGGCCCCGCCTGATACTGGTATCGGTATTGGTGCAACACTAATTGAGTTCTGATGAAATCACTCCTTTAAATCAAGAAGAGATATTATATTAGCAATAGCTTCAGCTAAAACACATGATATTCTTGTATTTTTAAAATGTGTTTTATATCCTTCTGGTCTCAGATTCCCAAAGTTTTCAGTCAGTTTTTTGTTCCTAGGTTTCAAATGTATTATAACAGATGAAAGCAAGAGAGGATGGCAAGTTAGAACAATCCATTCACTAATAACTCTGATATTTATAATTTTGGCATTGAACCAGGGAACACTTTTTTGGAAATCCAAACCTGGAAAACTGATAAAATTCTGGACTCTTGCTTCCAGCGATGTCTCTCTTGCCAAACAAGCTATTCTGAGTAGGATCATACTATGATAGCAATGTTTAAGCCTGGCAAAGAACCCAACCGGTTGTTGAGCCACTGATTGCCTTGTTTTTAGCTCTTCAGCTATATTGATATTTTTTATGAACTTTCCTCCAAGATTATGATGATTTTACTTTCATGAATCTGCTTTTTAATCTAAAAAGTTTCTGAGTGAGAGATCTTATCCCCTGAGGCTACGTCGCTAGGACTTCTAGCATGCTGCGTCTAGCTTGGGAATGAAACAGCAGCTTTTGTTGGATCACATTGGAAAGCCTGCAGCACTAACAGTCAGGTGTGAGGTTTTAAAACACGACCATCATGTCTTCAGGTGTTATTAGGTTTCTTTTGTTGTGTATCACAATACGATGGAGGAGACTGAGCGACATGCTGTCTGGAATCCAGAGAGGATCTCAAGCTGAAAAAGGTTGTGGAGCAAAGATCCATCTGCATTTGGAAGTTTTATGGTTGCCTTTCTTCTTTCTAAGCAGATCATAAGATTGACATTTTAAAACGATAAACTCCCTCATACCTCAAATTGTTTCCCCCCCATTCTCTAGAAAGATTATTTTTAAGAACTATGATTAGCAAAATATGGAGTGAAAGAATTATGCAATGGTGCAACATAAATATGGAGGGTGAAGGATGCCACAATAGAATACATTATTAAATGTGTCATTAATTTATTAAAACTGGAAAAAATACAGAATCTATTTATGTATGTGAAATTATAAATAAATCTGTCCCTAAAACAGCATCAATTAATTTAAACTGTCAAATATCCATCAAAGAGGCGGGACTAGATTTGTCTCCATAGAAATCCTGACGTTTTATCAGCTGTTTCCCACTAAGCAAAATAGGACAACTTCCATCTGGTTTTCCTTTACTGTATCCTCAACATTTCTGCTTCACGAGGAATATATTTATTGCATTGTGTCAGTCGTCGCTCTACATACATCAATACCTTGAATTTATTTCTAACAATTGTTAAATTGAAAAAGTTCCCATCAGAACTTTAAAGATTTAAACTAATTTTAAGAGTGATTCTTGAGGGAAATGTATTAAATTTAGTGCAGCAAATAAATGAAAAAAAAAAAAAAAACAAAAAAAAAAAAACGCATTTTTTTCAGTTGAAATGTTCTCAAAGAAAAAAAACAAGCTTTTTTTTTTTGTTTTTTAGCGTGTTTCTAGGAAGGAAGACTTGACGGAAAGGCTGAATAAAAACAGTCTGACAGATGTGCCACTTCACTAAGGGAACACCAGAAATAGCCTTATCAAGGCGTATTTGAGAAGAAATTCCATAGCAACAAATGCTGCGTCTCCCAGAGATGTCCAAGAGTGTGAATCAACAGAGAATGGGTGTTTTTTTAAAAACCTTTCCAGTGGAAACATTTGAAGCAACACAATCTGAGCTCAAACTGTTTTATTAACATTAATACTTTTAAATAAGGGCTCCTGAGAGTACAGTGATTAGATGTGTATTTGATCAAAGAATAAAGCAGGATTTCTTTCCAGAGTTCACATTCAGGTCAATGCTACAAAACAGATTCAGCTGGTGTCAGTTCATGGTTTCTATGTTAATATTCATTTTCATCATTTGTGGCTTACATATCCAGATCATCCTCCTCCTTTTCTTCATCATCGTGCAGGACATCACAGGCATCAACAAGCAGCTTAAAGATTTCAAATGCAAGTTTAGAGCATTTCTGTGGTTCTGGTCCATTAACAGCGTTAGTTATTTGCCATCCTTGTCCCACTAACTCATGAACATAAACCCTATACTAGAAAAAGGTCACTGCATCAATGCAGTGACAGGAACAACAGAGGATTATTGCCACTGGATAGCTGAAAAGGAAAGTGGTAGAAAGTCCCCAAGGCTTTGCTCTTGATTCAGAGCTCGCCCTGTATGGAGATGATGTCTTCTTCATTTTTTTCGGAAGAACTTCAGGTAAATCACAGCGCCCAGAATGGCTAGTTCCATTAAAATGATGACACCCAACAACAGCTTGTTTGTCATCAACCTATAAGACAGAAAAGAAATATAAAAAAACTCTGGCTGCAACATTAATGAACATCTACAAAAGTATTCAACCACATCCAAAACAGATCCAAGAGAGGACAACATTGCCATGTTCAAATTGTTTGGTGCTTTGGAAAGAATAAACAACCAAACAATTAGCTTCACTCAGAATATTTTTCCAGCTGCATAACGAGTTAACCGGTTAAATATAGACGTAGAAAACCTGAGTCTCCATAACTATATTTTTCTTTTATTGCATCACAGTTAACTTTTTATCATCATTTGGATTAAAGTAAATTTGGAAAATTACTGATTGTAAGACTGATATAATAATCAATTACAAATTAAAGTGACTGAGAAAGGAAAAATACTAGTTTTGTCATTAGTTTAAACTTATTTAGTTAGAGTCATTCCACACAAAACAGTATTATAATTTATACTGCCAGACCAAAAAAAAAAAAAGCCAAACACTTCTATAATTTGTTGGAAAACATTTAGCTTTGATTACGACACGTATTCGCTGTTGAATTGTTTCGGCAAACTTTCTTCCCAGTGTTGCATTCATTCTTCACTAGGCTCTTGCAATGACACATCCCAAAGATTCTCAATGGGGTTAAAGTTTGAATAGTCAATCCAGGCGTGAAAATTATGCCTGGTTCTTTGAGCACATACAATTGCTGAACATAGACCTGACCAACTGCAGCAACCCTACATCATATCAATGACCCCACAGCCTTATACAGTTGGCACTAGGCATGCGGGTACTTTGCTTCACCTGCCTCTCCTAACCCTGATGTCCCCATCGTTCTGGAACAGAGTCAATCTGGACTCATCAGACCGCTGACCTCCTTCCATTGCTCCACAGCGCAAACCAGTTAGCATCACTGGTCTGTGGTTTTCTTAAGACTACACAGCTGTTCAGTCCCAATCTGCTGATTTCTCCTTACATCAAGCGTATGTAAATCATCTTACTTTCATTATGGAACATAGCCCAGATTTCGTTTTTCTTCAACTTGATTTCACTAAATCTCAATGTGATCCCCGACCACAATTATTCAGAAAAAATTTTTTCAGCCACTTTTTTTTTTCATTCAAAGACAATGGGTCCCCACCATCCTTACGGTTTCTAATAATGTGTTGGACAGTTCCTAACCTATGATTTCCAATGGTTTCATCCCTCTGAAACAAACTGACATCTTTTCCATGGGATGTGTCGTTCAACACGGTTGTTTAAGAAATGAGAAGCAACTCACTGCATGAGCCAGGGTTGTAAATAGGACGGGGTATTTTCGCCAAAGTCCTGAATCGATTCGATTTTGATTCATACAGTTCTAAATCGATTAATTTTGATCTGTTTTTACAATAATAAAAGTGGCTAAACTGTGTTTCAAAATACTCATGTATTTTATTTTTTCCTGTCACATTAAACACAAAGTGCAAACTTGTAAATCAGACAGTTTAAGCTTGAGATGTGAACATCACAAACTTGTTTGTGAAAAGTGAAAAAGTGAAGCCTCCAGCAAACAGATGTGACACAAACCATATTTGCGGAGTTGTCTGTAACAACTACAGGGTGTTTGCTGGTCAGTCCCCATTTATTAATGTCTTCAGTCAACCTCTTGGCTATACTTGCAGCTGTCTGACTTGAAGGAGTGCATCTTTCCTGCTTGAGTGAATCTTTCCTGCTTATTTGATTGTGGACGTCACGTGCGTCACTATAAAACTAATCGATCTCATTCCCTAGACATCGGTTCTGCAAAAATGTAAAGGAATCGATTAGAAAATCGATTAAATCGATTTTTTTACCCAGCCCTAGTTGTAAAAGTTTTTTCCAGCTGAAACATAATGGCCCATAAGTAATAATACAATGTGAGGCGTGTACCCATTTGCTGGGATAAATCCAGGTGGTGACACAGTAAAGTTTCAGTACAGAGCTTTTACAGTAATAATGAAGAAGCACCTTTACGTTATAAACTGTATTATCATCATCAAAATGGGCATTGATATTAGTTCAAAAATATATTTTTAGTTTGTTTTTTTTCCCCTTTCATAAAGCTCTCTACCTGTATTAGAATTCATGGTAGATGTATGTCAACAGTTAGCAGTTATCAAAGTAAGTAATTTTGTCTAGAAGTGGGTCTGGCGACTGATGGCCATAGAACAGAGCTCTCTTTTTCTGAAGAACCATGTCTAAGCAGGTCTGGACATATATTTTTGCTAATTGTCTTTTTAATAGTCCCAATGAAAACCTTACTTTGATTTTTTTGAGTCTACCATAATGCCACAGCCTCTAAAAGGACCTTTAAAAAAAGAAATATACCAAAAGAATCACTGACTCTCTACCCTACTTAATAAATATTCTTTATATTACACCTAAAAACATGCCTCCTGTGTTTGTTAATAGCAAGAGTTTTGTTTCAAGTTCATTTTTTATTCTTTTTAATGCTCTGACTGTCGGTATGTGCAGGATTAAACAAGTCGATATTTTTCAGCCATTTTCTGACTTAGAAAAATCAAAACACATCTCTTTCTGAATGGCAGGTACATTTCTCTTTCCCACTTTGAAGAGCGAAAAAGAAAAATGGGCCCTTGTTTCACAAATTATTAATACCAAGGGGGAAAAAAAGACATCACAGACAAGTTGTTCAAATTTCCAGGAAACATTCTTCAGTATAAAAAAGGAGGGAACTAAATAAAATAAAAAAATCTATATTAAGAATTTTATTGTTTATAATCAGTTGTGTTGTTATATGTTAATTTTGTGATACTCACCGTCGTGACATGGCACGAAGAACTTTTCTGCTTTTGCTCAGGTTCTCTCCTGTATTTTCCAGCTATACAAAGAACAAAACAAAAAATATTTTATATAACATGCATAAATCTAGACTTAAAGAAGACACAAGAAGTTCCACTTATCCGCTATAATGTGAATGAGGGCACATAATATTTTCCCCACAGACCAGCTCAATGCCACCCACAAAGGGCATGGTTTCAACTCACTCTGTATCTGGTTCGGTCCAGCTGCTCCCTCTGCTCCCCCAGCTCCTCAGTGATATCTGTGCCGATCTGATCCGTCTCTGCAGCGATGCGCTGACTGCGCTCAATACTCTGGCTGGCATTGTTCAGGTACTCTGTTCCCTGGAGTAGAAGAGTTCTCTGGGACTGCAAGTGTGTCTGCAGAGGTAGATAAAAGTAACATAATCAAATACATGCTTTAATTTTGGGGAAAAGTCTTAAAAAAACAACAACACTGAAAGTAATGACAGAATCAAAGGATTTCAAAAGTAATATGGGACGTATTCTACCTATTACTCACACTTTGTTGATTTTGTGATGAATAAACGCTCTGATGGCTTCCCTGTACTGTTTGAGAGGAGGTGCTGAACCCAGGTGTAGAGTTTTTCATGTCCCTCTGCAACTTGCCGAGATCTCTGCGGTAAAGGCGCAGCTTGGCACCCATTGCATTTCTGTATGAAGAAGGGGCACCACGCAGCTCCTCTTCCATTCCTTGTAACTGCAGATAGAATCGAAAGAATAGAAAACACAGTGATTCCCAGAAAGAGTGAAGCGAAGAAGAAGAACTAAAACTAAAGAACTAAAATTCCCATGTAAAGTGTGTATACAGCATTGCATTTTAATAGGGTTAATATGATAGATCAACACCAAGTACTGCATGACTGTTAGGTGGACAGACAGGAAGCAAGGTTTTCTATACATTTCTATACATTCTATACTTAAAACCTGAAAACAAATTTTTTTTTATATCCACCCAGCCAACTCAATATAAATGCAACAATGGTGGAAGAAATAAGGATTAATCCAAATTTAGTCTAAAACGTGAGAATAATGTGAAATTGTTGCACTGAACGCATATTTTCCAAACCACTTACTTTTCCTTAATTAATCCTTATATTAGTCCCATCCCTCTCAGGAGACTTTAGGATATTGTTTGTTAACATTTATATGTTACAGGTTTGTGGAAAAAACGGGAACAAAAGAATGGTGAAATACAAACAAACCTTTATGTTTGGAACAGGAAACATCATTTTCTCAAAAATATTACATGCAAATATGTAGTTGTGATTGTGTGCCAGGCCAAACATCCAATTAAAGTTCCAATTAAGCCACTAATAAGGCACTGGGGTCAAGTTTCTATACGCAGGCAAAAGAAGTTTCAATGTCCAGTCTTGATGATGGTTCTGGATGGTTTATTTTCTATTTTTACCAACAATTAAAGAGTAAAAACTTTTCTTTTTTCTAACCTGTCTTGCACTGGTAAAAACCATAGAACCCAAACTGCCTGCTGGTCCTTTCCCTGGCCCCTACACTTATAGAAAGTGGACTGATCCACATCACTTCCCGTCCTACCTCAACCATTACAAAAATAAAATAAGAAAAACAATAAACCAAAGATAAATAAAAACAATTATTAACCTGCAAATAAACTCTGTAAATAACGCAAAAAATATATATTTAGAAATTAACACAATTCAAATGGATGAAGAAATAAAGAATACAGAGCTCCAACATAGTTGTTTGCAGTGGATGAAATTGGCTCCAACACAGCGCCATCCTGGGAGAAAAACTCTTGGTGGACATAAATGACTTAAGACTTGGGAGGTTCCTCATGAAACTATGACTTTGATCAAGCTCTACTTGTATATAAATATGGCCTAGACATATTTCTGACTATAATCCAGTTAAAACATTCTGGGAAGCAGGGTCCAGTCTGGCTGGGCTTGAGCCAAATTTATAAGGAGAATGGATAGGTTGAAATATTTCGAAAACAATGCTTCCAGTCTCTCTACTTTACTTTGAGTTTTTCTATCAATTTAAATCTCATGAAATACGTTAAAGTTATAGATTGTAACCTGATCGATTGTCATAAAATAAATTTTCCAAAAAAAAAATATATATATAATAATAATAAAGACGAGTTTCCTAACTGTTAAATTATTATTTTTTTGTTCCGAGTTGAAGATTTAAAAAGTAAACAAACTGAGTAACTCACCACTTCCTCGGCCTCCCCCTGCCTCTCATCAAATGTCCTCACAAGCCTCTTCCTCTCCTCTGTATTTGAGACAGCACAGATCCATTATTCACAGCACAGACTGCCTTTATTGCTCATATGTAGGGTGTTCACACTGTTTACCTCCGTGGCTTTTCAGGGCTCTGTCTGGTATTAGCTTCAGCTCATCATACAGCGACCTGTACATCTCGTGCAACTTCTCAAATTCCTCCGACGACATATTCAACTAATCAGTAGGCTGTCAGAATCAATAAACTTTTTTCTTTTTTCAAAGAGAAAAATAACAATTAGGTTTAGAAGTTTAGGAAAATATGCTAGTTCTGCTTTGGTAATAATAAGAACCCCGAGACTTCCGCATGAAGGTCCTCGTGTCTTTTAGCGCCTTAAACTTCTATTAAAAAATTTAAATGTTCTTTAGATGTATATGGAATTTGAATGAATTTAGATTCTTATCTTAAAGGTAAATTCATGCATATATTCATTATCAAATATTTCTGAATACCACTAAGAAAGCGCTGATGCCATAGTTTTAAACAGGCATTATCGTGGACAGCTTATTGGAATTCTCCAGGAAATGTAGTTAAAAAAAAAAAATATGTGCGCTTAAAGGAATTTAGCCTACATCTTAACATTACTTATTTAAAATAAATAGGATAATTACATTTTGAAATGATCTAAAGATGAAACCCCGAAACCTCCATTTTTAATCCATATTATAATAACAATTTATTAATGTGATCGCCACTAATAAAACATAAAAGGCCGTAGTTATTTTTTTAATTTAACCCTTTGTCTTGGTACAGACATCCTCTAAATTCCAAAAAAATTATTTAAAAAACGAATAACGTTTTATGTTTCTTACAATAAATATTATTAAAAATTGACAGGCTTTTATTTTAATATTAACATAGGTGCAAAGTTTTTTTCCCTTTGAATTGATTTTATTTAGTCAATAAGTCATTTTTCCCCTGTATTTCTATATAATTTTTCTTCATGTTATGCCTTTTACCTCCACCCCGTTTTATTATCTCCTGTTATGATAAATACATAGGGCCATGATGTATTTTTGGGGTTGACCTTAAAAACTACAATCCCATGATTCCATTCGAACTGCAAGTCTGCCCCCCCTCCCACCCTTATGTGCCTTGCGCCCCGTTCTGCTTTGACATCAGCTGTTCTGCTGCCTACACACCTCATCCGCATCTTTCTGGAAGAGACATCCTGGTAGATATGTTCGTCTTATTAATAATCCTGGGGCTCGGGGTGGTGACGCTGTTGGTGATTTTATTCGCTCCACATATACGGTAAGTAGTTATATTCTGGTATGAATCCACATCTCGGGCCGATTATGCTTTGGATCATCAGATATTGCTTTAATTGGTACCACATTGCCCATTTGCAAAGATAATATCAACCTTTTAGCTTATTTCTATGGCAGAGTTGTATTCCAGTCGCATTTTTTTATGGATGCGTTTCTAAGTTTAGTACATAACGAAGGAATGTGGAAATCAATAAAACAAATTGATGGAGACTTTGAGTATTTGCACGTAAATGATCCGGCGGTCTTCCGTCTGAGCGGCTCGGCCAATCAGGAGGTAGAGCGTGGGAGGGGCTATATTTGCATGCATAACTTCATCACACTATTGGTTATGAGGCGGTCCTGCACGGTGGCGTGGGTCACGCTTATGCCATGTTTTCCTATAAATAATTAACCCTGCGAGCTTAAATGTTCAATCCTAATGAGGTTAGGATGGAGGAACATGGACTTAATTAGTGCTTTAAATTAAATTGCTCTGTCTGCATTATCTTACCCAACTGTCTCCGTCTACACAGAAGATATGCAGCAGGAGCTGTTTGCAGATCCACGGCTCGTCTGGATGGGAAGACGGTGCTCATCACTGGGGCCAACTCAGGAATTGGGAAGGAGACTGCCCTGGACCTGGCAATGCGAGGTTGGCATTGCCATCATTGGGAAAAGTAGAAATGCAATATTTTGTCACATAAGAACCACTATTTTATCTTCTGAACTATTATAATTGAATCTCCTTGCACATTAGTCATAGTAAATAGACTGGGTCATTTTAAACCATGTGCATGCTTCAAAGCCCTTTATAGTCCATAACTTTGGATAATATACACTACTATGCATTTCTGATCAGTTTGTACTTTTAGATGATAGGGTTAGGCTTTGTTTAATGAAGACACGTAAGCGACAAGGGCTGTCTTTTCTCACACGTCTTAGCTTCTGCTGCTGGCTCCTTCTGAAATGGAGCGATTTTTCTGCCAAAACGTTGTGTACAAAAATGCATGTTGCAAATGCATAAAGCATGTTTCACACAAACAAATCTTATCACTCCCAAATAAACATGTTGCACTCAAATAAATCATATTGTTCCCAAATAAAACTTGTGTTAGAAACTCTCCTCTAATGTCATACACAAATAAAACTTTTTTTTTTAAAAACTGTCCTTAAATGTTGCACACACACAAAAATTTGTTTTACAAACCGCACACTAACATCGCACTGAAAATATGCTCACATACAAACAGCCTCTCCTCGCGTACGAGACAGTTATTCACACTCTGCGGTAAGTTTCTGCCAAAAGTCACGTGATACATGGAGAATTGTCATTCTGAATAACTGACAGCAGGAGGCGCCATACAAAACAACTGAAATGTGCCGGTGTTACGTCAAGCTGCTATCTATCTTTCCATCCATGCTTCCTGATTTCCTCCTTTCTCCATATAGGCTAACATTTGATCGTTCATGCTCTCCGTAGTTCCCCAGTGGCGCGAGCACAGGGCGGCTGTTACCTTTAGCGAGCATGCACGTTTCCTGTCGCTTGCGCGGTGAATTAGATGCGAATAGTGGCATTCTTGGCTTGCCATAGCAGAGATGCAGGGGAAACCAGTATCTGACGGGGAAACGCAACTTGACTTGATTTTTGTACACAAAGTTTTGGCAGAAAAATCACTCCATATTCTGAGATCTTAAAAAACAGTTAACAGTGGTTATAACTAACTCGTAAGGTGGATCAGGGGTGTAATATCTGTAGAACTACTTAAATCTATAGTGAAGGGTTTTCACACATTTTTGAAGACTAGCCCTCTCCACTTAAAAAACAAAATGCACATAAAAAATGTTGCATCACTCATACAAGCTTACTTTCCAAAAGAAGATTTGCACATTTTCCAATATGTCAGACTCACCACCGATAAGTGAAAATGGGGACGAGCACGTAGGGCGGCCTTAGATAAACGGATCACCAGAATGATTGACAATTACAAGGACCACTTATTTTGATGATCCACCCGGAAAAAGAACATCCTCCACTATACCTTTCTCTGTTGAGCCCTTTTAGTTTATCACAAGTCAGAAATGGGGATGGATATATATTGATGATCTAAAAGCAGCTACACCTTTTCCTCCACGGCTGTCTTTTTTTTTTTTTCTTCACTCATCTCCTACTGTCCGCTACATTTGTGAAAAGTATTTCCTATAGCTTCCTTTCAACGATAGTTTTCTTGCCATTGAATAATAGCTCCTGTATTAACGGATTCTCTGGCCTGGGCTGTGGATCCCTGTAGCTCTTTCTAAATTCATGCTTTCTCTGCCTGGTATGTCACTTTAGATACACGGACGTAGACCAGTTATGTTTGCTAATTTCACGTTTCTTTCCTATTATGTCGGCATATTGGAAACCAGCTGTGTTTCTTATGTAACAGCATGTATTCAAGCCAGGCAGCTGGTTTATACCAATTAGCTTTATGCCCCGGATTAGATTTTGAACAGCTTGTCATGTTCAGCTTTAGGGGGGTTTGGTGGTCACTGACTAGGCTACCAAATATATATGATTTCAGTTTAAGTTTGACATTTCCCTAATCCCCTCCCCTTTTAAGGCTGGTTATTAAATCTGATTCCTTTTTTTTTTAAATTTAGTTCTAATTCTTTTGTTAACATCTCAGGCGCTCGTGTGATTATGGCGTGCCGAGACGTTGAAAAGGGCGAAGAGGCGGCTGCCAGCATACGAGTGGCATATCCTGAAGCCAAGGTGGAAGTACGAGAGCTCGATTTGGCAGACACCTGCTCCATACGAGCATTTGCACAGAAACTCCTGAGAGGCGAGTGAATCAGTGGGTCTCAGAGTTCACAACCAGTTTGAATTTACTGTCATTTACACATGCTTTGTTTCAAACAGAGGTCAACCATCTCCATATACTGATCAACAATGCTGGAGTGATGATGTGCCCGTACACCAAAACCATGGATGGCTTTGAGATGCATATTGGAGTTAACCATTTAGGTAGGTCCTTCTGCCCTAAAAAAAGATTTGTAAAAATGTTTTTGTTTGCATCTCAACATCTTTTTAAGGAGAGTTTGTTCGATTTTCAGCAGAGAGCTGTTGAATTTTTCTTTTTTTGATGTTTTCAAACAAAAGCAGCCTTTTCTAAGCAAGCCAAGTATCTTTAAAACATGAAAAAAAACACACAAGCAGTGATAGTATTTAAATGATTGTATGATGTCTTATTTTTTTACTGATTATCAAGAAATCCAAATTGGCCAAAATGGAGTTTAGAAATAGGCCAGTAACTCTGATCGATGCATTTCTAGTTATTTTCATTGAATTAAGACATTAACTAGGGATTTAAAAGAATAATAAACTTAAAAAATAGTTGTTGATTAATGGTTTATTAGATTAAAATGTGTTCCATCTGTTTTAATGATAACATCAGCTTGAAAGGAATTTCTTTAAGTGTTGTAGTGGTACTGCCATTCACTAGAGGGCGCTGCTGTTCATTCTTTACTATAGGCTTACTGGCATTGCAACAGAAGAAAAACTGTAGCATATTAACGCTTGAGCAGAAACGTGAATCAATCCAGTCTAGTTCGGGATTCTTTATCCTGTTTAATGGTTTACAAAGATGTAAAATTAACTTTAGTCGTCTCTGTTTGTAAATATGAAAAGTTGATAAACTCCTGAAATTATTACCTAAATAGCTCATATTTAGCCAGAGATGGCAAAAGTACTCACTTTCCGTACTTGAGTAAAAGTACAGATACTTGTGTTAAAAAATACTCTGGTAAAAGTGGAAGTACTGATTAAACTTCTTTACTCAAGTAAAAGTAACAAAGTACAGGCTTGTAAATTTACTTAAAGTATAAAAGTAAAAGTAGAAACCACTTTGTTCATGCCGTTGCCTACATTTTAAATGGATGTCTGCCAATAGGACTAGATCTCCGTTGTGTTCATTTTCAATCATCTCGTCGTCCATGCTACTATGCTAACGCCACCGCCACCAAGCTGCAATGATTTGCCGCCAATGAATACCGCCGAATCAATTCATCTTGTAGTGGTGCGTCAAAT